AATCCCCGTCTAAGGATCTATGTAGAGGCGGATGACTCCAATATTTCAGTAAAACGGCAATATGGAAAACATAAAAGGAAACTCCAATAGTGCAGTATATTCCTTGAAAAAGGGTAGGGTAGGTGAATTTCAGAACAGACAGGACATACTTGTTAGTGAAAAAGAAGCTTCTTTTTGGCTTTCTATTTCACTAACCTGGGTGTCTTGACACTTTGGCAATCTGCTTTATTCTAACAGACAGTGACAGCCAGATTTACCCTTTCATAGGTGCCCTCGAAGGCACAGCATAGTTTAAAGCTTCAGGGTCCTTATCTGCCGATCAGCCAGTATTTATACTCCGGGTCAAGTCCTGGGGGAAAAAAGTGTGGGAACTCACCCAGGATTCACTCCCCCCCCCAAAAAAATTATATGCTTGAATGCATATATATAGTTGGGTGAAGGGGTGACAGTGTGTGGAGGCTGAAAGTAATTGGGGATGGTGATATTGTGTGGAGGGGGTGTCAGTGTGTGTATGGGGATGATAGAGTGTGTGTTTGTGGGAGGGTGACAGGGTGCGTGTATGGGGGGAGTGACAAGGTGTGTGTGGAGAGGTGACAAAGTGTGTGAGGGGGCTGTGACGGGGTTTGTGGGGGGGAGGCTGTGACAAGGTTTGGGTAGGAAGGCTGTGAGAGGGTAGGGGGGCTGTGAGAAGGTGAGGGGGGCTGTGAGAAGGTAGGCGCTGTGAGAGGGTAGGGGCTGTGCGAGGGTAGGCAGCTGTGAGAGGGTAGGGAGTCTGTATGGTGGGTAGGGGGGTTGTAAGGTGGGTAGGGGGACTGTGGTGGATAAGGGGGCTGTGAAGTGGGTAGGGGGTTATAAGGTGGGTAGGGGACTGAGTGGGTAGGGGGCTGGGAAGTAGGTAGGGGGGCTGTAAGGTGGATAGGGGGACTGTGAGTGGGTAGGGGGTTTGTAAGGTGGCTTGTGAGGTGGGTAGGGGGGCTGAGGGTAGTGAAATTGATAGGGGGACTGTGAGTGTGTAGGGGGACTGTTAGTGGGTAGGGGGGCTCACTGACAGACAGACACACTGACAGACACACACACACTCATTCACAGACACACACACACACAGACTCACTGACAGCCAGCCAGACACACACACACACACACACACACACACATTTCCCCCAAACACTCACAGATTATTATTTTATTTTTTTCAATTCTTTATTTTTGAAAGTGCATTGGTAGGTACATTTGTCAAGGTTGTCACATAATATTACAGTAGTAGGCAAATGAAGACAATTCTGGTGACATGTTCGCTATGCGTTGCACTTTGTTTTTTGTTTGAGTGAGAAATTCACGATTTAACCAAAAAGATTTAACAAAAGAAATTTAATAAAAGAAAAAACAGGCATATCAAAGTGATGCCAAGACAGGCATTGCTAAATAAGCCAGAGCAAGTAATAACTATGCGCAATATCATGTTATGGTGTGCATGAAAATATATCAAGTGGGCTCGTCATGTCCCAATAGCTTTGACAAGCATGATACCAAACAGATATTAACAATTGGTCAGCATGTGGAAGGTGCAGCACATTTTTATATTGCAACATTACAGGTTGTGAGCGTATGGTCGATGTAAAAAGGTTTATGCTTATGTTAGACTAGTTGGAAATTAACATTTCTAAATGAGTAGGAGTAAGTAGGACCTCTCTCAAAGTGCTTGCCAGCCATATCAGAAGGGCACCGTTTGTGTATGTATAGGCTAAGAGCCTAATAAGTGCAGGCTGGGTCGATATTAAGTGCAGGCTGGGGTTTTATTAAGTGCAGGCTGGGGCGTTATTGTGGATTCCACTGTATGACAACGTTCGGAAGTTTTTTATGGGAAAACAGGGCTGTTACAGGTTATGTAATGTTGTTATACCTCGCTTAAGGTGGCGGGTCAGGCATTTAAGCTGATTTGTTAATCGGCATCTGCCTGATCTTGTTGCTTAGGTACGTGTTTGTGACGAAGTGCCCTTCGCCACTTGGTCCTGGAGAGGCCTACTTGCCAGCCTCCTCCCCTGTGACTATGACTCTTTCATGTATCTGGCTTTAAAGCCCCTAGTCTACCTTCAGACAGACTATTTATGTAGGCTGCTTTATTTATCTTATGTTTTAGTCACCCTGTACCCATTATAGGTGCAGGGTGTGTGTAATGTAATTGTTTATTGTGTGTGTGTGTGTGTACTGTGTAATGTATTGCCTGCTCTCTTGGAGTGGATATACAAAATGAAATCTTCTGTTCCCTCAGGATTGAATACTGATTTGGATATACTAGCCTTTATGGATTAATTTGATGATGATTTTAACTTTGACCTCTTTTTATGTCTCCTTTTTATATTAATTTTATTTTTTTATTTTTTTACACATTTTATATTGGATGTATTTTTTAAATAGAGTATTTTTATATGCCTTCTTCTCTCACCATGTGTCATAATAAGCTATATGAATAACGCCTTCTGTTCAGATTTATATGTGTTCATTTTTTATCATTATTGTTATTTACCTTATGTGTATGGATACATTTCTTATATCCATATTTGTGTCCATTTGGTTATTATTTTATATGATGTTGTCCATACTCTGATATTATGCAATATCATTTATATAATATTATCTATGTACATTCATATTGACATCAATATTTAGGGGATTTACCATTGTAAGACCTTTTGTGTTTTATGTCATGACGGTTATTTTGGAAATATAAATGGACTCACTCCTTTTTCCCTTTTTTTCATAATGTAGGTTTTTTTCCTATATATATTTTCCTTAATGTATAAATATATTTTTCTTGTTTTTAATATATTATATTTTTTTAATATATTATTTTATTTTATAATATTATTTATACTTTCTCTGTATCAGTCCTCCTTTGGTCACCTGTCTAATTTATATTTCCCCCTTCTTGCTTATGTAGTATTCCTCTGTTTAGGGGTTAGCAGGGGGGCAGGCAGGTTATGTGAACCCGGTCTGCAGTGAAATAGAGCGTTTTTTTCTATTGATCGCTCTAAGTGTGACCGTGTAGATGAACAATAAAGTTTTGTTGCGTTCCACTGTGGTAGCGCATGCGCGTACTAGCCGCGTATGCGTCATGACGTATGACGTCGTGTGCGGTGACGTAGGCGCGCGTGCGCGATCACGGCGGCCGACGGACGAACCGGCAGATTTAAAAGGAGGAAGATGGAGGAAGACGGCAGAAGCTCCTGAGGAAGTCTAGCGACGAAACGCGTTGAGCAACCAGTATCTTGGGACCCTGCATTGTGGTATTAGTGGCTATACTGTTTATATGTGCTGACTGTCTATTTTTGCACTCTGGACCTGTTTGGGGCTATGATTATGCTCACGTGATATTAATTGGATGCTTTTCCAGCACCAATATTTGCACTTTTTCCATTTTGTGCACTTTAGCATTTGCACTTTATTGCCTTGTCTAGCATTATACACTAGTGAGCTGCTATACCTATGGGTTCCTGTCTATTATATGTTTGAGCACTTTGTTGTGCTATGATTTTATTTATTTTGTATTAATAAATCACTATTTTATTCAGTTATTGGACATTTTTAAGCATTTGGTTCTTCCCTTTATATATATATATATATATACCTATTTAGTGATTGTGGCGCCCTGTTAGTTTGTATATATTTGCTGTTTCTTATTGGATTTGGAGTATCCAATTTACAGAGGCTTGCCTGCACTTGGTTTATCAGTAGTCCATATTGTTTATTCACCCACCTTTTTATCTTTTTTGTCTGCTCTCTTGTATTGCTGAGGTTTGCTACCAACTAGGTGGGTTTGGCTATGGAGCTTGTCTAGTGCCCTCTGTTGGTAGCAACAGCAATATGCACTACCTGAATTGCAAGACTGGTTTATTTGCATATTCGGGTAGATTTGCATATTGCTAATTCTGTAGGCAGGTGAGATATTTACTGTTAAATATTGTCTCCCCCCACCCCTTTAAAAATGTGCCATTGTGTTGTGATAAGTCACTGTGTGTTTCTTGATATGTTTTGACTGTTTGTGATTTTATTGAGGTTTCACAACAATGTTATTGTGGTGACTGTATTGGCTGGTCCCAAGGGAATAAAGGTTTTGACAGTTCTTCTTGATCCCTCTAAATGTAGCCTTGTCTCGTTATTGGAGGGAGCTGTTATAATCACACTGGGGATTGCTATGCTCTGCATGCTCCCCTGAGCTTGAGTCACTTAGTTCTTTTAAGAGCTTATTCCTGACACGCTCTCCTTGGAGGAGGGGTCTTCACCACACAGTCCTGGATGCTGGAGGTTCATACAGGGTGGAAGGAAGAGTTCTTTCCCACACAGTCCTGGAGGACAGAAGCTGATCCAGGGTGGAAGGAAGACGGCGAGACTCCAGTCAAGATACGGCAGTTGCGGAGTCTGCGTTGGTTGCGGTGTCTGCTGTAGTGCTTGGAGTCCTCAGGAAGCGCTAGGAGCATCCGTCAACGGAGGGTACTCGGTCGGAGTACAGGGAGCTCCTTTACAGTGTTGTAATTGTGGGTGCCTATGCAGTTGTGTTAAACATTTAAAACGAGTCAGCATCAATAAACAGAAAAAATTAAATAAAATACATTTTAAAAAAAACCAAAAAACAGATAACGAACAAAGAGTAATAAAAGTGTGAGAGAGACAGTGCGAACAGACAGTCTCGATTACTCACGCTGTGGTTGGATGTTCTCATCTGTTGAGCACCGGGCCAGACTGTTGCCCGGTAAAAGAAAAAGGTGGGAGAGCGTCCTGGTAGTTTTTGTCCTATTTCAGGTTGTGGCAGCTGCATGTGGCCCTGCAGGGGGTTGTCATGGCACAAAGAGTGGTGCGCCAACCTCGTTCCTCCCTAGGCTGCTTGTAGTTCCAGCTGGTGGATTCGCGATGTCCAGTGCCATCAGTGGTAGTTGCAGGTCTTCCAGTGTCCTTGTGGCCTCTTGTAGGTTCCGCACCACCAGAAGGCCGCTTGCGCCTTCTATGTGTAGGGCGCGGCCTGGGCCCCAGCAGTACCTGAGTTGTTTCTGCCTCAAGAAGGATGTAAGCTGTTTGAGGGATCTTCTCCAGTTCAGCGTTCCACTTGAGAGATCTGCATAAAACGACAGAGTCATGTCCTCAAAAGTATAGGTTGTTAGGCCCTTGGTGGCTTCTAGAACGGCACTCTTGTCCCTCGCGCTTTGAAATCGGAGGATTATGTCCCCTGTGGCAGCTGGTGGTGCTGTAGCTGGCCGTGGTATACGGAAGATGTTGTCCAATATTATGGATTTGCCCGCTTTCGGGGTTAGGAGACCGGTCAGCAACCGCCTGGCATAATGTGGGAGCTCGGCCTTGGGCACAGAGTCAGCGACCCCTCTTAGCTTTAGATTGTTTTGACATCGCTTATCCTCTTGTGTGGCCAGTTGTTGGTCATGGAGTGATGCTAGTTGTTTGAGGTCGTGGACTGCTGCTTTCAGCTCCTCTATCTGGCGTGTATGGCCGCTAGAGGTGCATTCCACGGTCCCGAGCCGTGCTGAGAGGCCTTTCAGATCCTCCCTTATCGTGGCCACTTCTGCTGAGATTTTGCTGTGATGGGAGGCCATGAGCTCCCTGATGGCCTCCATGGTCATCGGTGTGGGAGCTGATGCAGGAACTCGAAGCCTGTCTGGCGGTGGTGGAGCTCTGATCGGCATGAAGCTCCCTTCTCCTTGCGTCCAAAAAATCGGAACATCCTCCGTGCAGGCACGCCATTGTTGCACCGGCTGTTTCATGGGCCTGCTTCCACATATCCCCGATATTCATGCCAAGACGGGGCTTGTTGGGCTTTTGCTTTTTTGTTTTTCTGCCCATGTGGATTGGGTAAGTCGTGGTGCACTCTAGGGAGTGTTTGGGTCGTGGTAGGGTTCTGTTTGCAGCGATTTAGCTCGTTTGGAGTCGGGAGCTCTGCAGCCATGCGACCTTCCTCGTCTGTTGCTAGACTCCGCCTCTCACAGATTATTTTTTCAAATCCACCCAGCCTCCCTACATTTGGGAGAGCTGGGTGGATTTTTTACTGAGGGGCCAGTGGGGCTGCTGGCTGGTCTATGCGGGCAGGAAGGCAGACGGGCGGTTAAACTCCAGGCAGACGGTGAGGGAGTGCAGATCTGTGAGTTCTCCCTGCTCAGCTCCCTTGTGCGCCACAGAGTGATGCAGGGAGCCGGTATATGACGTCATATTCCGTCTCCCTGCATCACTCTGCGCCGTGAGCTGAGCAGGGAGAGCTCACAGATCAGCGCTCCCTTGCCGCCGCCTGCACCGAGGCTAACAAGGCAAATGCCTTGTTTGCCTCGTGGGCAAACAAGTCCTGCAGGACCACAAACAGGAACAGCGTTCCTGCTGTTGAAAAAGTGCAGGAGCGCCGTTTCCATGCGTTCCTGCAGGACTTGAGCCCTGAGTACAAACCATTATCTGGAAATATATTCATAAACTGGGTTATACATAGGACACAACGTCACACATTTAGGCTGGAAGAAAGGAGATTTCATCTAAGGCAACGAAAAGGTTTTTTTTTACAGTAAGAACTATAAAGATGTGGAATTCTCTGCCTGATGAGGTGGTTTTATCAGAGTCCATACAGATGTTTAAACTGTAATTGGATAAAAACTTGCAAAAACATAACATACAGGGATATAATTTCTAATTAGTGGAGTAATAGCTTCTTGATCAAAGGAGATATCTGACTGCCATTTTGCGGTCAAGAAGGAGTTTTTTCCTAGTTTGTTGCAAAATTGGAAGTGCTTCAGACTGGGTTTTTTGCCTTCCTTTGGATCAACTGCAAAAACATATGTGAGGTACACTGAACTTGATGGACGCAAGTCTCTTTTCAGCTATGTAACTATGTAAGATCCAAGCAATCCTGATTATATCCATTTCTCATCCCCATGCAACTTTCAGGTACTGAGTGAAGCTTGGGAGATACTCCACCTCATTCAGCCACTCACACAGACAGTCACACACACACACAGAGTCACACAGGCAGACAGTCACACACACATACACACTGACCTGCTTCTTACCTCCACATCCCTTGGAGCTCCTGGAGACTGGTTGTTGGCCATGCTGCAGTTACCTGGCTCATTTAACTCGCCCCCACCGCACAGTAAGCTCCACCCCGCAGCACGCTAAGATCCGCCCCACTATTGTTTTTTTCTTCCTTTTGCTTTGTTATAATTCTGGCTGCTCCCACGGGGCCCTATGCGGCCCACAGCTTGCACATAACTTACACATAGAACAGGTAGGAAATATATAATCAACCATGACACATGCATTTTGTTTTGAGGTATGTAGAGAGGGATCTCTTAAAGGACTCTAGGCTTGGGGAAGATTTTAAAGTGTGCGGGAGGTCGTTCCACAATTGCGGCGCTCTGTAGGAGGAGGAGGATCAGGCCGCTTTCTTTTTGTATTGAGGTAGATTAAATAAAGTGCTGGTACTGGATCGGAGGTTATAGGAGGTGGGAACAGCCGAGGAAAGCATTCTGCTCAGGTAGGGCGGGAGTTTCCCAGAAAAGGTCTTAAACACAAGGCTGGAAAGATGAAGGGTGCGTCTGGATTCCAGTGACAGACAGTTTAGTTCTTTATATAAGGCGAGGTCCAATCTTCCAGATTTTGCCTTCTCAGCAGGAGACCACGGCCCCATGCCAGGCCCGAGGGGACGCGCAACGACTCCCCGCATGATGGATGTCCTCCAACGCCCATTTGAAGTCCGAGGCGTCACAGACCTCTTTCCTGATCGAACGCTCACCTTTGCACACACACTGGCGAGAGCACAAAAATAGTAGGGTATGCTCGGTCCATCCCGCAAAAACCATCACTACTGAGAGACCCCACACAATTCGAACTACTCTGTACGCAAGAAACCGAAACCCCACGTGCCATTTCACAGATATACGCAATGCTGGTTACAGGAAGGTATATACTGGCACCCCCTTGCATGAGAAACTGGGAGGAAGACCTGGAAGAACCCATGACAGAAGCAGCCTGGGACAAAAACATCACCCTGATACAAAAAACACCCAGCTCGGCAAGGCTGCAAGAAAACTCATACAAAATATACACCAGGTGGTACCTGACACCGACGGCGATCCACGCCAGGAATCCGGAAGCCACAGACTCCTGTTGGAGATGTGGAAAAGAGAGAGGAACATTCATACACACCTGGTGGACGTGCTCCCGACTCCGACCATTCTGGAACACGATCAGAGAGGTAATACATGAAGTAACGGACGAAATGCTCCCGAGTTCCCCAGCAACGTTCCTCCTACACCACACGGAGATGTCTATACCGACATACAGTAAATCTGTCATCCCACGACTATTAAACGCAGCCAAAGCAACGGTCCCAATATACTGGAAGCAGGCCACCACACCCTCCATCGCAAGATGGGTGGAAGAGGTGGAAGCAACTAGGAAATTCGAAGACATGAAGGCAACCACCCCGAACCTTAGAGATCGCTACACCAAACGCTGGTTTCACTGGCTTAGACTAACCACCACTGACGCTTTTCGTAACCGCATGGCGACGCAGTAGACGAAGGAGGAGAGTATTAAGCCAAAATGAATACGGCACTAATATGAAAAGCTGGGGACCGACGAACCGAGACGGCGACAGGGGTCGGAACCACCCACCATCACCAATCCACAACACCCACATGCACACACACGACACACAACTTGCCGACACATATAGTCGCACACCTAAAGGACAACAGGAGGTGGGACAATGAGCAGGTCAGTCGGGGACATACACAAGTAAACACACAACACATACGAGCGGCAGCGAGCCAAGACTTTAAACTACGCAACCTGAACCAAGACCCACTACAAACACACGGACGGCCAAGACATAGAACAAACGGCCACTGCAGTCAGATAACACCAGACGAGAGGTGCGAAACCACACGATCTGAGCGCCACACACATCCACAGCCCAAACACAGACCTTTTTGACCTACCCCAAAACCCACAGAACAACACCACATCCACGCACACACGTGAACCCACCTCAACGCGACGACACCAAGACACACAGACAGTGACTCAGACACACAAACCGGAACCACAAAGACGCAACAATAGAGGCAGACACACAGAGCTCCAGAATACAGCAACACTACATAGACATAACCATGGAAACACGCAATAGAGGTGACACAGACTTACCGCAGAAGGTTTCACCATCACCAGCAGAGGGGAAGGACACGAAACATACAAAACAAATACAACCCCAATATGCACGAGCAGGTAGCCACGAGACACACTAGAACTCAGGGATACAGACAAAAGACCAGAACGCGTAAACACCAACTCATTTTCGCAAGATGGGCCTTCACTGCAGTTTACGGCAACAGGGATAAATACGCAAACACAGGCATCTCAGAAGAAAACAGTGTATTATTAACGAACCACACTAACACCATTTAAAGAGCCGATAGCTGTACACATGATACTAACTGCCACCCCAAATAGCCACTACATACCTGACAACAAGGCCCTAACAACGCAATACCAAGCAAGCTCACCACCTTTTGCATGTCTAGCCCTGCAAGGCTTATAAATGTCTAATATTTGTCATTGCATGTTTATTTTGACCTATATGCCTCTGCGCAGGCAACTATGTGTTACTTTGAGTTAACTGGAATATGTCGGCCTCACATTATATACACTTTCAATGTGCACGCCTCTGCGTAGGCAACTATATGCATCAACGATACCAAGTTCAACACTCGTGTTTATATTGCTGACAATAAACATATTTAAAACAATCTTCCAGATTTTGCCTAAATTTACAAAGCATGGGTAAAATGTTTTGTGAATACAGCTGACTCAATTTGGGAGTCATGCAGATCCCAGGTACCTGAGAGATTTTGCAGACCAGTGAAATAGAAAGGATTGGTGGATCGGGTCGGCACATTGGTCATCTAGAGAAAACATTCAAAATAGTGGACTTTTTGTAATTGATGAGTAAGTTAAAGAGGGAACCATATTAGTCAAATTCTTGCACAAGGTTAGGAAGTGAGAAACAGGCGCAGGTGACATAAAACAATAAAATCATTAGACATGTGCAATTCGGGTTGGTCCGAACCAAAATTAAGACGAATTTCGGACATATGGATGTTTCCGGATGTCCGAAGTGTAGAATTTCATAAGTGCCGAACCTAACTGAATTTCCAGAGTGTAGAAGGTCTTCGGACTTCTGAAAAGTGGAAAAACGGGTTGGGGTCCGGTTAGGGTAGTGATAGGAGTATGGTTATGGTTAGGAGTAGGGTTAGGGTAGCGATACCTCTACCCCTAACCTACTCCTAAACCTAACCTAATTTAAACCCTACTCCTAACCCACCCTAACTCTACTCCTAACCCAACCCCAACCCTGCTATTAACCCTAACCTAACCCTACTCCTAACCCAACCCTACCCCTACACTTACCCGAAGTGCCGAATTTCGGAAGTGCCGAACCGAAGTGCTGAATTTCGGAAGTGCCGAATTTCGGAATGCTGAACCTAACCACATTTTTTGCCCATGCACATGACCTATAAATCATCAGCGTAAGTGGCACGTTAATGTTATTCCCTCCTTCCACCTCCATTCCTCTCATATTTGGGTTTGACCTAATCTCATAAAAAGAAGGATTGAGGGCAAGGATGAAGTTGACAATGCGCAGCCCTGGCAAGTGCTGTTATATATCTCAAAGGAGTCATTTAGACACCCTAGCAGATTGGTAGGTGTAGATTACGTATTCACTGCATCATCGTCAGGAAATACTATGACCCAACACACAGTGTAGTCCTTAAGTCCCCCCCTCATGGCCCCCCTCTCGCTGGGCTGAACGGGTTAAAACCTTTCTCCGTGGAGCTCCCTGAGGCGTGTCCCTTTAATAACTCTGTGTTGTGGTTGTGACAAATTCTTGAACCATCTAAGGTACATGTAGTTTTGCAGACACTGAAAAAAAACCCAAACCATAAAGACACTAGCACTACCACACCACCAAACACAAAGAGACAGGCACCCGTGCACACAGGGACTCCTGGGCAGCTAGTGACGATCACTTCTGTTTACACTGGAGAGCAAAATTCCGCTCGGTTCATCCTAGTAGGTTCCCAACCACCGCACGATTAGAAAGTGAGCCGAATCAGGAAGTAAATAAGCAGCGGTTGCTAAGGGTAACGCTAGACCGTGCACGCCGCCATGACGGCGGAAATGACGTCACAGGCTAGGTGCTGCCTGAGAGGTGTAAGGTGAGGAGAGAAAGCGGCGATCGCAGGTAACGTCACTGGGGGTTCTTGGGTCACGTGGTAGCATAACATGCCCCTAGGTACCACACCCCCATCACTGGGGAGGGCAAGCAATGGAGGGGGTGGGGGTGAGAGTCTCCAATACTCAGCTATGGCTTTCAAGTATTTACTTTTGTGGAGGAACAGAGGGGCACTGTCGTGCTCTTATTGAGTATGGGGGAGGGGGTATGGAAAGATAAAACAGGGCAATTCTATTATTAATGTAAATAAAGTGAGTGTCTTTCTGCACCCTGATGCATGACGTGCTATCCTGGGTACCCCTATTATAACAAAGTGAATCTGGAAGTTTTAAACATGGCAGTCTTTCTGCAGTAGGAAGTACCCTGTTCAGAAGGGGTTTTACAGTGAAATTGTTTACCATATGATCTGTATCACGCCCACATCATTGATCTTTACTTTCGTTTATTTGGTTACTTTTTCTTTCTTTTTATTGATTAAGAGACCATTGGAGAAGGTGGGTCACTTGTTTCATAAATGCTGTATTTGTTTATTCACTAAACTCTGCACTATAACATGTTCCAACCTGAATGCAATGTTTTAGGCAAAAAATATCTGATTTAGATATAGTCACAGCTGTACATGTTTTACATGATATTTGCTATTAATATTTTAAAGGGATACTGTAAGTGCCAGGAATAAAGAGCTGTACTCTTGGCCCTATAGTCCCTCTGCTCTCCCCCCTTCCTGGTAAATAAAGGATTAGAAACCCTTTATTTACTTACCTCATCCCAGCACCAATGTCCCTTTGGTGCTAGTTTGCGGTTCCTGTTCCGTCCCGCGATGACAGGCGGTAATGCTTTCCTATGGGGAAAAAATCTGACGCTGGATGTCTTCATTTACCAGACCAAAGGTCTGTTCGGATCCAGCCACTGGAGGCAGACTTAATGCTGCTTAACCCCTTAAGGACACATGACATGTGTGACATGTCATGATTCCCTTTTATTCCAGAAGTTTGGTCCTTAAGGGGTTAAAGGGACACCGTAGGCACTGTATCTGCTTCATCTCATTAAACTGGTTATAGTGTCTGGAGTCCTCTGGTGCCATCATCTCTTTCAGCATTAAACAGTTTTTAAACTTTTAATGTTTTAATGCTAAACAAGAGTCCCCGGCAATCCATCCCCTCTGTGCTGCTTTGGCTAATAAGGAAGTATTAGCCTGAGCAGCAATAGGCAGCTGTGATTGGCTGAGAGTGTCAGCTGACTACTTTTAGCCTGTCAGAGTGCTTTTATGAAGAAGTGGGTTTTTAACGATTTTTTGAAGGAGTGGAGACTGGGTGAGCATCTAACGGAGGAGGGAAGATTGCCAGTTTTTTCTAAAACCATTCTGGAGATATTTGCGTTTCTACTTTAAAGGCCCACGCCAAGCACAAACACATTTTGCCAGTGAAGTTTTTATGGTACCCAGAGTCCCCTTGCGTCTTCTTACCATTACATTTTACAATGTCATTGAAGAAATTACATTTCTGAAGCATTACTCTATGTAGGCAGCCAGGGACAGTCTGAGAGCGAATACTTTAGCAATTGTGAGGAAGATGGACTCCACTTCAATGCCAACCTGGTTGAATCATTTTTAACCCATCCCCCTTCCCATCAAGGTGGTATTCGTACTTGATGTGCTGCCTGCTCAGGAGATAAGCTAAATTGGAGATATACTTTTGTCAGGTTACCTTGTGTATCAGTCAGGGCATGTCACAGGCTGGCATCTCATTGCAGGGTACTGGGGACACTCCTACTAACTTTCAGCTTGTCCCTAGTGATTCTCATGCCAGCCGCGATAAACCCGCCAAACGAACATTTTGGGGGTGTGGTTACCTACCTAAGTGAACACGTATTTAAAGAAAAACCAGGGAGAGACTCATTGCCCTGTTGTGGTTCTTGTTTGACCAAGAGCGCGTATTCTGTATTGGTATTCTTGTATTCTGACTTTGGCTTAGTTTGACTATTCCTCCTTCTTTGTTCCTTTGACCCCGGCTATTGCATTATCGTTGATCCTGATTTCTGGTACCCTTGACGTTGGCTCGCTATTTGACTATTCTTTGTGTGTGTAGTGTTAGTCCGGCCATCCTAAGGTACGCTATAGATTACTAGTATTTGCATTCTGCGTGTAGGATCCCTGAACGTTCCTGACAACTTTACCTGAAGCTCTCCTTTTTGGGCACCATCCTCTTCTCTCACTCGGTCTAAAATGCAGTGGTCTTTGGCGTATGATAACTTTATGTTCGCGTTTGAATTTCAGTTAAATTCCAATACTGTCATTATGACTATTTCATCTTTATTTAAATACTCAGATGTGACAGAGCTGCTTTCGTAAGCCCTACTGTAACTTGATATCATGCTCCTTTATGGCAGAATGGTTTTACTTTGCCCTATCTTTCTTCACTTGTACTCTACCCTTCACCTGTTACTGCCGCCATTGAAAAAGGTACATTTCTTTTCAAACAAGTTTTTATTTGTATTCAGCGATGTCTCACGAGTAAAACAGGCACGTAGAATTTAAATGTGTGTATTTATACGTACGTGTATATATATATATATATATATATATACACACACATACATACACACACATACATACATACATATACATACACACACACACTTGCAAGAAAAAGTATGTGAACCCTTTGGAATGATATGGATTTCTGCACAAATTAGTCATAAAATGTGATCTGATCATCATCTAAGTCACAACAATAGACAATCAGTCTGCTTAAACTAATAACACACAAAGAATGAAGCAATAACTTCAACCAAACGTTTCCTGTAGTTGCAGATCAGACGTGCACAACGGTCAGGAGTAATTCTTGACCATTCCTCTTTACAGAACAGTTTCAGTTCAGCAATATTCTTGGGATGTCTGGTGTGAATCGCTTTCTTGAGGTCATGCCACAGCATCTCAATCGGGTTGAGGTCAGGACTCTGACTGGGTCACTTCAGAAGGCGTATTTTCTTCTGTTTAAGCCATTCTGTTGTTGGTTTACTTCTATGCTTTGGGTCATTGTCCTGTTGCAACACCCATCTTCTGTTGAGCTTCAGCTGGTAGACAGATGGTATTAAGTTCTCCTGCAAAATGTCTTGATAAATGTGTGTGTATATATGATTTTAATTTATTTTTTGTTTTTCATTTATTTTTCCTTCGATGATATCAATCCGTCCAGGCCCTGACGCAGCAAAGCAGCCCCAAACCATACTTCACAGTTGGGATGAGGTTTTGATGTTGGTGTGCTGTGCCTTTTTTTCGCCACACGTAGTGTGTGTTTCTTCCAAACAACTCAACTTCGGTTTCATCTGTCCACAGAATATTTTGCCAGTACTTCTGTGGAACATCCAGGTGCTCTTGTGCAAACTGTAAACGTGCAGCAATGTTTTTGGACAGCAGTGGCTTCCTCTATGGTATCCTCCCATGAAATCCATTCTTGTTTAGTGTTTTACGTATTGTAGATTAGCTAACAGGGATGTTAGCATTTGCCAGTGACTTTTGTAAGTCTTTGGCTGACACTCTAGGATTCTTCTTCACCTCACTGAGCAGTCTGCGCTGTGCTCTTGCAGTCATCTTTACAGGACGGCTAGGGAGAGTAGCAGCAGTGCTGAACTTTCTGCATTAATAGACAATTTGTCTTACCGTGGACTGATGAACAGCAAGGCTTTTGGAGATACTTTTATAACCCTTTCCAGCTTTATGCAAGTCAACAATTCTTAATCGTAGGTCTTCTGAGAGCTTTTTTGTGC